AAGCATTTATTAAAGAAGGGAGTTGCCCCAAATACGGCATGTCCTCCTTCAGTAAACAAGATTCAACATACAGGTTTCTGTGGTTACTGACTTTCTGAGCTTCAGCTCTAATCAACAAATCAAAATAACAACACAAAATTTACGCTAAACTGCCCACTCATACTTCGATCATGACAGTGCATGAGTTAGGCCATCTGCTGTATGTTGTGGCGCGCGCGGACGGGTTAGCCGTCCCTGTCAGTCACTGCTCCCAACCCACATCAGAAATCTGACTTGTTCGAACGGTGGCCTGATGCTGGAGGTAGGGGAGAGATTGAGATTGACGGTTCAGTGATTTTTGCTCACTTTAAACAACCTTATGCGCTTGAAGCTATCGCAGTGCGCTCAAATGCATGGCTTTGAGGGTTGCCAATGGACGGAGTGATCCAGACCGCGTGGTCAGCCTGATGTATGTTGCGTTGTGTTGAATGGAGTGGCTGAATAGCGGACTGAGAATCAGGCTGCGATGGCTCCTTCGTAATGTGGCTGTTATGGCACTCTGATTCAGTTGGGATCCGAGCCGCCCCCAAATTGGCTGTGGTTTTCTGGTTGTCATGGCCGACAGTGCGTGGGTCTGCGCTCTTTCCCAACTTCGGGCTTTTTGACACTGTCTTGACAGGTGGGGGAGTTAAGAGGGTATGAGATAGATGCCGCGCAAGTCTACTCTCACTATAATCCAGTACATGTCATCATTCGGGCACTATGCCGCCATGGCGCACACAGTAGACATAGTCGAAATCGATGGCCAAATTTTATGTCCAGAGGAATCACTGGCAGATGCTCTCTATGATGAACCCTATGGGCATATAATTGCATCTGGGGTTATCCGAAGAATAATATCGTCGTGTTGCCTATTTGTCGACCGTTTGAATCCGCCTTATAGGTGTGGTCCTGTCATTTCAAATCAATCTAACAGCAGCTTTACAAATAGCGAAAATTCTTGCGACGCTCTCACGCGGTAGTCCTTCGACTGTCAATTCGCGTATTCCCACAGGACCAAGGAAAGGCAAAACGGTCTCGGCATATTCACATCACAGCTTGATAGAGAAACGTGGCAGTGATCGCGGTCACTCTCTGTATTTTTATTTGTGCTTTGTAACACACTATGGTGAAACAAACTGTTATCAACCATTTTATTATTTCGTTTTCTTGTAAAACATATTGCTAATTTTCTAGTCAGAATTTTTCATTGCTGAATTAAAAGTCACGTGAGTTTCCATATGTCAAATTCACTTGTTTTTACGAGCAATGTTTTATTTTAAAGTTCCAGAGGGGACTAAGCGTAACAATTTTTGCCTAAGATTAATCTTTTATGTGTTGATATTTCGCCCTTTTAAGGTCTATTATTTTCTAGCCGAGAGTCCTCTGTTCTGGGAAAAGTAGTTATTATGTGAACGTTTGAGACATTTATGTAGACCTTTATAGCCTACCCCCTGCAGGCATATATATCATAATTACGAAGTTTACAAGCTGGCCTAGGTTGATTCATTAGTTCATAAAAACCGGATAGTATCCTCTTAAAGTCAAGAGTAAAAATATTTTGGGATTAAGCAAATATTGTCCGACTAGACACCTTTGAAGAGGTTGTAAAACAAGCTTAAATTTGGCATATACAATAAATATTAGTTTTTATACGTGTTAGCACGTTTGTGGAGTTTAGCTCAAAGGGCCGCCTTATCCCTTAAAATTTGAAATAAGAAGTTAAGTATGCTGGAGACTATTACAGGGGCGAAACTTTAAAAAAATATCCACTCTACTTCTGCAGAGGTTTCCTCTAATGTGATATGAACATGCAGCCGAAAATCGACTACCTTATTATATATGAATCAACTGAATGTTACGTTTATTAAGATTAAAACTGCACTTAATTAAACATTTCTAATTTTGGTGCACTTTAGGATTTCGGACAACATTTAACTGCTATACACAAACGCTATGCGAAACTGCTCTAAAACTAAAAATATCCTAACAAAAAGGCTGAACAAATGCATCTGTATACATCGTCAGGCTGTTGTGTTTTAGAATATATTGCAGAAGCTTGTGGGAGGTCACGTGTGCTATCGAATGCTGCCGGAAACGATTAAAAAGGAAAAAGCTTAGCAGCATTATGCCGCAAAACGTCTTATTTCCCTTTTCGGTTGCTAGACAATGTAACGTGCCTGCCACCGAACACGTTTAGGGAGAACTGCTGCTAGTATTTTGCGGCCAGCCACCAGCTATTTGAAGGTCATCGGGCTTCAAATCTCATCTGAATGTTCCATTCTCTAATTGTTCTAAACTGTTTTATGACTCATTCGCCCCCCCTGTGAAAAACCTGGTGGTCTTGACGGGGTTTGAACCCACGTCAGCATAAGGAAGACTTTAGTAAAGCCAAAGTTCTAGTACACTGAGCCACAAGCCGTGATTTTAATCACACTTGGGTCAAGTTACTCACTCAGTCTAATGCAAGGTATGGAATCTATCAATTCTGATATAATAAGCTAAGTGCCCAAGCAGGGTTCTCAAGCAATCTATCTAGAATCTACCAGATGACTTCTATGCACACTTAATTAGTAGGTTTTCTCAGATTTGAGTAATTCATTTGACTCACTCCTATAACTGTTAATGCAACATGTTCGTCAGTCACCAAGAACCAGACTCACATTTATTTTAAAGTCACACGCCAGTCATTTCAAAATTGTAACAGTAAGCTTAAACTAAAATTGCGTCTCTTTTTTACCTGGTAGCACCGTCCTCCTGCCCACTCTACTTCTCTTTGTTTTTGTCGTTTTTTAAAGGTGGACACCCTGTTGTTGGAGGCTAACGAAAGGTTGCAAAGTCACCTCTCTGAGCGTATGGCTGCACTGCAGCAGAAGCGTGAAATGGTGACGGAAATGGAACGCCTGAAGTTTGCTCTGGACGAAGCCCTCAGTGATCGCGACCTTCTTGTGAAGGATTCCAACCACCTGCGCAGAAAATTGGCGGAGCTGACTAGTGGCTACAGCACGAAGGATGCTAAGCTTGCTAAACCTTCAGAAAACCTGGGCAACTTAGACACAATGGATTCTCTCTTGGCTGTTGATCCCTCAGGGCGTAAGTTTACCGGCTTTCAGAGCACTAGAACATTAAAAGTGCTCGAGAAACCTATTATTATATATTCCTCAGTATCTAATCAAAAGAGCTTAGGATAGTCATTGAGTAGATCGAAAGACTTACTGGCCTTGAATTAACCATTGTTGGGTGAACAGGTCAGTAGACTAAGAGCAGATATTTTACGGTTTTCCCGATAGCCTAGTTTTGCTAATCATAAGATGTTTTTTAGATCGTAGCATTTATAATCTGAACACCATTCGCGTTTGGCACATTCTACTTTGCAGTAATAGATGACACGACATGTTTTATTCGTATAAAAAATTCATTTATGATAAAGTCTACCATTACACTCGACAGATAAGCACTACGCACATAAGTTCAGACCGTTTGCGAAGATATATTTCTAGGCATAAGGAAAATCGGGATGAAATTGTGATTTAAGGATTCCGGAGCTGATTTTGGAAACTGTTAGAACGCAAGCATCCGGTAGCCCCAACAGTTGACGCTTGACCGGAGCTGAACCTTTGTACTTAACTTTGTTCATATTTCAATATCTGCTCAGTGCCACGGCATCTCCAATTTTTCTATTTTTTAGTGTCACTTGATAAATTATCATGCCAATGAACCTTAAGCTATAAAAAGATATGCACATGTACATCAAAAATAGATTCAAATTATTGCCTGACCAGACCTTTCTCTCTCATGTGATTGAATATGAAATAGAAGGAATGCTTAGGCCAACGTTTGCAGTGTACGGAAATAGCTCTCCCAGCGGATAAGGCATTTTGGTGGTTTTGGTTTCGGTTACAGCGCCTGGATTGCACTGTTCCGTAATGCCAAATACTCTCGAATCATCACTCTCTGAAGATAGATAGACGAAACGACTATCCGAAACGTCAGATAAAAAATAAACCTCTCCTGGTGAACGCCCTTTCTCTTTCTGACTCCCGAACCGGCTAAACTAACATGGGCGTTACGTGAGGTAAGTGCGGATACATAATCTCCAGGCAAAATTTGCACAACGAAAACAAGCTCAGTACGTAGTTAGGGCCACTGTAAGTCTTGTAGTGAAGCGAATCTCTCAGGTATGATGCCAGATTTTTGATAAACTACACGATGAGTCAAATGTCCAATGTCCAAGTACTTATTACATTTTCTTGTATTTGTTTTCGCAATGACATTCAGGACTCATCTGTGATCGCCCGCTGAACACTACTGCAGCCTCAGTTATGTATGCAGTGAGCCCCACGGTAATCAGCTCCGCCCTTCAGCCAATGAATCGAAATTCCGCCATTCCCGATGACTCCTTTTGCGTTGAACAGGTAAGTCCTTCTAGAATCAGGAAAGCATGTTTGAATAAGTTATTTTCCCTGCTTATTGTAGACTGCCAGGCCTAGATATAGAAACCGAGTAGATTGTTAATTCGGTTGGGTACAGAACTGTGGACTCCCGTTTTACAGGTTATTTGGCGTTATATTTCAGTGGTTAGACAGTTAGACCTAGTGTACGTCTTGGAGCTAGAGTTAGTATACGGGAATAGGTAGCCCCTGGAAGTCGGTGGAAAGCCACTTGTAATACGGAGTCAGTACTTCTTTGTCTGTGCGACAATTCCTTTGGTGTTCGCCTGAGTGCTAGTAGTTGCATGGTTTCAGTGAGTGCGAGATCTCCTAATAAGGCCGCAGTACTAGGTGCGCCGGTTGTGCATTCTACAAGGTGGAGAATTGACTGACTGATACCACTGAA